ACAACTAGTTTCTTCTAGGTCCATGCATTATAACTCAAGTCAATATTATTGTTGTTGTTATGTGCTGTCAAGTCGCCTGAGACTCATAGTAACCCTATGTATAACAGCCTAAACCCTGCTTTATCCTGTGCCAATCTCACTGTCTCTGACACAACTACCCCATTATCCCATCTTCCTCTCTTGCACTGTCCCTCCACCCTTCCAAGAATGACATCCCTCTCCAAGGACTGATTCTGCCAATTGGCCCAGGGGTCAGAATCTTTGTTTTCTTGATATTGACCCTCAATCCATATTGAAGGTTGAATTTCTGCAGCAAGTGCTTGAAGTCCTCCTCAGTTTCAGTAAGCAGGGTTGTGTCATCTGCATAACACAGATTGTTGATGACTACCTCCAATCCTGATGTTATATTTCTTCTCATAGAATCCAGCCTCCTGGATAATCTGTTCCATATATACATTTAAAAGGAATGGAGATAGGACACATCCCTGGCACACAGCCTCTCCAATTTTGAACCATGAAGTGTTTCCTTGTTCTGTTCTGAAGACTGCCCCGTGGTCCATGTATAGGCTTTGCATAAGCACAATCAAGTGTTCTGGGATTCCCATTTTCCTCAGAGTCAGCCACAATTTGTTGTGATCCATACAGTCAAATACCTTGACATAATCAATGAAACACAGATAGGCATTCCTCTGGTACTTTCTGCTTTCAGCCATGATCCATCTGACATTAGCTATAATATCCCTAGTATCATGTCTCTTCTAAACACAGCCTGCACTCAGGCTGTTCTCTGTTGATGTACTGTTCTGGTCGTTTTTGGATAATCTTCAGCAAAATCTTGCTTGTATGTGATATCAATGATATTGCTCAATAATTTCCGTACTCTATTGGATTAACTTTCTTTGGAATGGAAACAAATATAGATCTCTTCCAGTCCGTTGGCCAGATGGTTGTTCTCCAGATTTCTTGGCACAACTTGGTGAGCACATCTGGGGCAGCATCTGTTTATTGAAATATGTTAATTGTTATCCATCAATTCCTGGGGCCTTGATTTTTTTGTTAATTCTTTCAGAGCAGCTTGAACTTCTTCCTTCATCACCACAGGCCCTTATTCATATGTTATTTCATGAAATTCTTGTATCCACCACTTCCTTTTGGTACAATGACTCTGTATATTCTTTTCATCTTCTTTTAATGCTTCCTGGATCATTTAATATTCTGCCCAAAGCATCCTTAAGTATTGCAACTCGAGGCTTGAATTTGTTCTTTAGTTCCTTGAGCTTAAGAAATGCTGAGCAAGTTTGGCCCCTTAGATTTTCTGACTTCAGCTCTTTGCACATTTTATTCTTATACTTACTTTGTCTTCCTGCTCTGCCCTTTGGAATCTTCTGTTCAATTCCTTAATATCTTGATTTCTTCCCTTTGCTTTGGCTTCTCAGCACTCTAGTGCAATATTCATAGTCTCTTCTGACATCCATCTTGGTCTTTTCTTCCTCCTCTCTTTTTGCAATGACCTTTTGCATTCTTCCTAGATACTATTCTTTATATCCTTTCATAGCTCATCTGGTCTTCTCTCATTAGTTAGTGTTCAGGGCCTCAAACTTGTTCCTGAGATGGTTTTGAAATTCAGGCAGGATAGACTTAAGATCACATTTTGGTTCCCGTGGATTTTATTTCATTTTCCTCAGCTTCAGCTTGAACTCACATATGAGTAATTTGTGGTCTGTTCCACAATCAGCACCTGACCTAGTTTTCACATCTGATATTGATTGAGCTTCTCCAGAAATTCTTTCCACAGATGTAATCAATCTTATTCCTATGCATACCATCAGGTGAAATCCATGTGCATAGCCTGCATTTATGATTCTTATAAAATGTATTTGCAATGATTAAGTCAATATTGGTGTTGTTGTTAAGTGCCATCAAGTCGTAGGCAACGCATAGCTACTCTATGAATGAAAGTCCTCAATACTTGCGTGAATTTCATCCTTTCTCCAGGTTCATAGGTTTTCTGGAGGCAAGCTATTATAGAAATGGATGCCACTCCTGCCTCCAAGCTTGTTTTAACCAGGGATCTCCACCAAACACTGTCCACCATGAGTAACCGTTATTGCATTTGACATATCAGTGTCATAGTGTTCAGCTTCACAGTGACCACAAGTTACCTCTGTACGGCATGTGGACACACCAGAGCTGTATGACCTTGCCTTGACTGCCACCAAGTCGAGCCGCCATCAAGATGCCAGCCATTCCACCAGTCAGCCAGCCGACTTTCAGACTTCTAAGTCAATATAGCACATGATAATTAGCACATGACAACTTTTAGATTGTCACCTCTCTCTCGCCAGTGTCTCTCTCTCTCTCCCCCTCCCCCGTCTCTGTCTCTCTCTCTCCCCTCTCTTCCTCTTTCTCTCTCCACAGAACTCATGTTTTCTTGGAAGCCTGGGTCAATTCAAACTGCCAGAGAGACATGTTCTTTAGATGAGCAGCACAAATCCCTACAGGAATTGTGAACTACCAGGTACATTTATATCAGAGATTCAACTCTAAGCTTAAAGATCGGCTTCAACCAACAGGGCCCTCTTCCTATGAAACATCATGTCCTCCACTGTGAAATCTGGACTGGGGAATACAAGGGAAAGCCACTTTCCAAAGTACAGTATTAAGCTGGCCTTGATAGCCTGTGGTCCATTCTCATACTTTCACTTCCCGCAACTCAACAACCTTGATGTCTTGTTTCCTCAAGCGTCTGCCACCCTAATTGGGAGTGATGTTGTGGGCAGATAACTAACAAGAACCAAGCTGTCAAATGCAAGGCAAGTTTACTCCTATAGCTGAATAATTCTCTACCTAGAACCAACAGGTCACATTTCTCCATTTCCTCCTGTTTCAAGTTTCATAACTCCTCACTGTCAACTCCCCAACCTGTTCTCTCCACCTACATTATATCTGCAGGCCATGAAGTTGTAGGGGGAATTTTGTGTTGTACAAAGTTCTAACAAACTAAAAAATTTCAAGCTTCAATATTTTCTTTGGTCTATGATGAAGCAAACAAGTGATAACCAAGACCATGGCCTGTATCAGATGCACCTTAGTTTCCAGAGAGACACCATTTCTCTTCAGTACTTTGGAGAGCTCCCTAATAGCAGACTTTCACATGGCAATACACCTTTTAATTTCCTTGCTACTGATGCCAAGAGTGTTGACTGTGGAGCCAAGCAAACTAAAGCTGTGAACAATCTCAATCTCTTCACCATCCATCCTGATGCTGCCAATTGGTCCAGTGGTGAAAATCTTTGTCTTCTTGACATTGAGCCTCAGTCCACATTGGAGGCTGCAGGATAGAAGGAGAATTGATGCCTTTGAGCTGTGGTGCTGGAGAAGAGTATTGAGAATACCATGGACTGCTAGGAAAACAAAGAGATTCATCCTGGAAAGGGTTAAACCGGGCGGCTTCTTGGAGGCAAGGATTCTGGGGCTCCATCTAACATACTTTGGACATGTTGTAAGGAGGGTCTGGTCTTTGGAGAGGGACATCATGCTTGGGAGGGTGGAGGGACAGCGCAGGAGGGTAAGTCCCTCTATGAGGTGGATTGATTCAGTGACTGGGGTAATTGGGATGGGAGTGTCAGAGACAGTGCGATTGGCACAGGACTGAGCAGAGTAAGGGCTGTTGTACATAGAGTCACTATGAGTCGCAAGAATTTGACAGCACATAACAACAACAACAACAACAACAACTATGAGGAAAGTATCAGGCTATATGACTCCTTTTTTCCAAGCTATGTGACTGGGGTGAGAAGGTGTATTCATTTATTTATTTGTAAGTTTTATTAAAGTTCACCTATTACCCACAGGCCTCAGGCTGCCTGCAAAGAAACAAATATCACAATTGAAGCAGTTGGTTTCCAAGGTGCCAAATTAAAATAGATGAAGAGCTAAGGAGGGAAGAAAATGAAAACATTAAACTAAGACTCCTTCACTCCCAAGCGCATGTTACCTTCTCCTCTTTTCACATATAAAATTGACTCTCAATGTAATTAGGCCAGGGCTACTAGGCAAACATCTTCAAATTATTCAGACATCCCCAGAGCCATACTTTTGCAATCATTCAAATAATTGAGGGTGGGAAAGCCAACTTTTTTCATATAGATTTATTGCCACTTGATATTGTCCAGTTAATTCCAACATTCCACTTGCCCAACAGCGCCATCATGAGCTGGGTTGGCAGCTAAATCCAATGATTCTGCCTCCGGTCCTCTGCAATCACCCTGAACCTGGAGTTTAAGCTAACAGTTCTTAAAGCTTGCTGGTCTGAGCAAAAGGACTTCATGCTCTGCAGTTAATAACACATTGCCTTCAGGGTTTAATGTCTTGGTAGCCAAATATGGATAAGCCTAAACTAAACAAACAAAAGAAACCAAAACCACACACACAAGGGAGCTCCCGGGGCCTAGTGGGTAAGGAGCTATGGTACCAACCAAAAGGCAGGTGGTTCTAGTATCCCAGCTACTCTGAGAGAGAAAGATGGATTCTTTCTCCTCCTTTATGATTTACAGCCTCTGAAAACTCACTGGATAGCAATGAGTTTATTTTTTTGAAACAAAAACGAAGCAACAAATAAAAATACCATTGAATTGATTCTTACTCTTGATGACCAGTGTGTTACCGAGAAATGCTCCATGGTGTTCCCTCTGCTATAATTTTCATGGAAATAGACCAGTCGGCCTTTGTCTTGTTGTGTCTCAGAAGAGGTTTAAACTTCCAAACTTGTTGTTACTGACTAAGCACACAGAGATTTGTGGGTATCAATAGTTCAAGACAGAAAGATAGTAACTCCTTCTTTGCATTTTTTCTTAGTAACTTTCCCCATTTCACCTCCAAGATCCAGGACATGGCTCTATTTTTACCATGGAGGTAAAAAACAGCCATGGAGCCTGAAGAGCACCTTTCCCTGATTTCAGATGGAAAAGAAATGACCAGTTTTCAAAAGAGGTACTTACTGGATTTCAGCAGTGTTGCCAGAACTTCAGCGGCTGCCCTGGAGAAAGAGAAAGAAAATTGGAAATGTTAATGTTCAATCGTCTTTTTGTCAGCTCATGGATCCCATGGCTGACGTGTTCATTGCACCCACCCAACAGCCCCATTAGTAACCCTTCTATTGATTGTCCCACTGGCCATCAAAGAGATATCAATGTAGATATCAGGCTGGACCAGAGTCCATCTTGCAAATGTGTCTCAGGGGTGCCCTCTGATGCTGGAAATGTTTTCCTTTCCTTCTGCCCTCACCTTCCTTACTCAGTCTGCACCTTGTTTATTCTGCTGTTTATCCAGGCCAGGGTTGGTGTCAGCCCCTTGATTTGTACAGTGGGACGGTCTCTGTGGAATTAGTGAGGTGAGATCTGGGGGCCTAGTTTACACAGTGGGGACTTGAGAGTTTTTTGAAAGACTGGCTCTCCTGGAGACACACTTCAAAACATTCATTCATTGGGGAGCGGCTTCTTCCTTTGGGTGGAAAATGGTTACATTGAGATTTTATTCTCAAATGCGCTACTTTCTTCCAAAGAGGAATTTCGCCAACTTTACAGTAAAAATAAACAGGAGAATTAAAAAGCCATTTGGGTTTTTTAATTTTTCTTTTTTTCTTAATTGTACACTAGTTTGTGTTTTGTTTTATAATTAATTTTTTTAATTGTATACTAGTTTGTAACTGATGCCTGAGCCTGAAGTCACACATGAACCTCCAGCAAGTGGACAACTTCATGAGCATTGAGCCCACTGTGCTGTGATTCTAGTACAAAGTGTATTAATTAATCTTTTTTTAAGAATAGGAATATTTTTCATGGCTGTAACATCTTTATTGATGCTGTATATATCAAGTTGATTCTAACTCACAACAACCCTACAGAAGAGAGTAGAAAGTGTCCCAAAGGGCAGAACACTTGACAGCAGTCACAAGGTTAGAACTCTGTGAGAAGAGATCTTCAGGTGGGTTGGTGTTTTTTTTTTTTCCTTCCACAGAAAAATTGATGGGTTCATACTGATGGATATGAAGATTTTGGTTAGCAGTAGATAACCATTGTACCACCGGAGCTCCTTAGCTTCTCCTCAAAACCTGCTACAAACAGCGCTCTGCTAAAACTCACACTCTTCTGATCCTTGGAGAAACAGATGTCAAAACAGTCATAGATACGTGAGCAAAGCTGAGAGCTCTAAGTCCAGAAACCTTATTTTCTACCTCTCTTTCCTCCTTTTTTTCATTTTCCTTGAGAATTTCTCTTTAGATGACCCCGTCTCTGGCCTCTGTCTGGTTGTTTGAAAGGTTGCTTACCTTCACAATATATTTTCTGCTCAACAGAGACAGCAGTAGAAGTAAATATATATATAAAGCCACATTATTCTGTTTGGTTTTTTTCTTACATACTTTGGGCATGTTGCTAGCAGGGGACTATTCCTTTATAGAAGGACATGATGTTGGGAAGGGTGAAGGGTCACCAAAGGAGAGGAAGACCCACAACCAGTTGGATTGACATGGTGACTGCTGCAATGGGTTATAGTGTGTCAGGAAGTGTGAGGATGGCACAGGATAAAACAGGGTTCAGATCTTTTGTTCATAGGCTTGTTGTGAGTGATACTCGACAGCATGTAATAACAACAACAAACTCTAAGGGATTCTTATAGTAATGAAGGCAAACTGACAGCAAGAATAATGATGCTCTGACTTTTCCAAAACAACATGATCTCACAAGATCTCCAGGCTGCCACAAAGTAGGCACAGCTAGTTTTCACTGACACTCTACGTTGTTCAACCTTCCCAACCATGTTTTCTTCTAAGACGACTTTGTTCTTTTTAAGTACTGCTCTTTTTCAATCTATATACTTAACAATAGTGGATTTAAGAAGGGAAACGATCAAAGGGCTGGTGAAGATTCAAGTCAATGTTAGAAATATAGGAATGACAGTGCAGACAGCCTGGCTTAGACTGGAGCAAAATGAATATAAGTGTTCCAGGGAAAAGTAGAGTTAGGCTGGACAAAGAGGGTTAGTCAGAGAAGATAGAAACCATGGAAACAAAATTAAAATGACGCTTGCTCATATCGAGCAACTGGATAGGTAGTAAATCACAGGCAAGGTCTACCAGTATTGCTATTGCATATCTGGTTTGCATACATTTTTACATGGGGAAGTCTATAAATGAGATGATGAGCTCATACAACTATTATATAATATATATAACTATTATGCATATATTATGCATATTACTATACATAAAGAATAGATTGTTGTTGCTATGTGTCATCAAGTTTCGTGCAACTCATAGCAACCCGATGTACAACAGCTCTAAACACTACCCTGTCCTGAGCCACTATCACTAATTCTGACACACACACCCCATTACCCCAGTCACTGTATCAATCCATCTCATACAGGGTCTTCCTTTCCTGCACTGTCCCTCCACCTTTCCAAGCATGATGTCTTTCTCCAAAGTCTGGTCTCTTTTAGCCACGTGTCCAAAGTATGTGAGATGAAGCTTCAAAGTCCTAGACTCCAAGCAGAAACTTGGTTTCACCTCCTCCAAGACATACCTATTTGTTTTCTTGGCAGTCCATGGTATGTTCAAGACTCTTCTTCAGCACCACAATTTGAAGGCATCAGTTCTTCTGTCTTCCTTAGTCATTGTCCAGCTCTCTGATGTACATTAATTTTTAAGACCATGGCCTGGACTAAGTGCACCTTAGTCTCCATACTGACATAATTGCTTTTCAGTAGTCTGGAGAGGTCCCTGACAGCAGATTTTCCCAACGCAATCTGCCTTTTGATTTCCTGACTGCTGATGTTAAGAGTGTTGATTGTGGAGCTGAACGAGCTGTAATTGTTAACAACTTCCATCTCTTCTCCATCTATCATGGTGCTGCCAATTGGCCCAGTGGTCAGAATCTTTGTCTTCTTGATATTAAGTTTCAATCCATATTGAAGACTACCGTCCTTGACCTTCTGTAGCAAGTGCTTCAAGTCTTCTTCAGTTTCAGCAAGCAAGTTGTGTCATTTGCATAACGTAGGTTGTTAATGAGTCTACCTCCCACTTTGATACAACATTCTTCCTCCTAAAATCTTGCTTCACAAATGATCTGTTCTGCATATAGATTGAAAAAGTTTGGAGACAGGATGCACTTTTCTGATTTTTAACCATGCAGTGTTTCCCTACATTGTTTTCTGATCCAAGTATAGATTTTGCATAAGAGCTATCAAGTGTTCTGGGACTCCCATTGTCCTCAAGGTTAGTCACAATTGATTGTGATCCACACAGTCAAATGCCTTTGCATAGTCAATGAAACACAGAAATTCTTCTGGTACTCTTTGCTTTCTTCCAACATCCATCTAACATTGCCAATAATGTCTCTAGTGCCACAACCTCTTCTAAATCCAGCTTGTATTTCTTGTAGTTCTCTACCAATGTACTGTTCCAGTCACTTCTGGATAATCTTCAGCAAGAGTTTGCTAGTGTATGATATTATTCAATAATTTCCACACTCTGTCAGGTAGACTAGCAGGGGTGAAAGACAGGCAGCAAACAGACTAGTTGGGGTGAAAAGTGGTGATAATGGCTCCAACAAAAACAATGACGGGAAAATTTTAAAATCTCACTACTGTAAAGCTGGTTCTTTCACAAGTAGTGTCAGCATTCCCCAGGAGCTGAATAGAAATATAGAATCTCAAACCCCATCCCTGACTTGCTGAACCAGAATATTTGTATTAACAAAACATCTAGATAATTCATATGCACATTGAAGTTAGAAATCATCAATTTTGAAGGCAGCATCAACAATGGCTTGGTTACCATTTGGATGATACCAGGGAGATCCAACATAAACCCTCTAATAAGCACCTATTATCATTATAACAAAGTAAAGATGAGCTTATGGAGTGATATTCTCTGACAAACATACTAAGTGTTAAACTAGTCAGAAGGGAAGGTGACTTCTGAGTTGCTAGAAAATATTATTTATTGATCATAATTGGGATTCAAAGTGTTATCCAGTAAAGGGTATATTTAAAGCAAGGATGGATATAAGGTTTGAGCCTAGCACCTACTATTCTAAGGAGTTTACATTGAATTCATAGGGAAAAGAAGCCATTTCCTTTTCTGATCAAGCTGATATGGAACTAAGGATGGAAATATGAACAATGTGTTAACTACAACTGATGATAGTTTGGTTATAGAGGACAAAACTAAAAAGTCAGCAATAACACCAAAATGTTTAGCTTGAGTAAATGAGAGGACAGACCTCGGGGAGAGCCTTTGTATTTAAAAGTCAGTTGTTGTTATATTTTAGGAGAATATTCTTCTAAGTGGTACAGCACTTTCCTGTCAGTTTGCTGTACTGAGATAACCTGGGGTTGCTGTGATGCTGAAACTTGTGCCATTGTGACATCAAATGCTGTAACAATTGCCCACGGTGGACAGTGTTTGGTAGCGTTCCCAGGTATGAAACAGGTTTGGAAGCAGGAGTGGCATCCACTTCCTAAACAACATGCCTCTGGAAACTATGAATTTTAAGAAACAACAATAGTTATTGAAAGGTTTCAGGTCTTTTTTCACAGGGTTGCTATGAGTCATGTTTGACTCCATGGCAACCAACAAAAACAACAACAACAAATGAGAGGACTGAAAAAATAATAAATAGACTAAGAAGAGAAACTGAAGTGTTGAAAAAAGAAAATGATGTTGATTTGGGGCATGCTGATCTTGAGACGATAGGAATAAAGCAACATGGAATTGTTCAGAATGTTCTTGGAAACACAGACATGAACTTACAACACCAAGAGTTAGGTATATATAAATGACGATAGTTATAGAAAGGCTTCAGGCTTTTTGTTCATAGGGTCTCTGTGAGCTGCGCTCAACTTGATGGCAATCAACAACAACAAGTAAGAATTACTGTGGTTGGTTGTTGTTAGGGAATTCTGGTGACCTAGTGGTAAGGAGGTATTGTTGGTTTTGTTGTGATGGTGTACCTTAGAGATAGAGCTGACCCATAG